AAGACCAGAAAAGCTTTCTATCTAATAGTATATATTATACTTATATTATTTTTATAAGGGGGAATTACTAGAGGTAATTTACAGGTTAGCTAGGCAGGGTTAGTAAACTATATTCTTAAGTCTATTACCTAATATAATAATAGAGTAATTATAGGAAATCTTTAGGAAGAACTAATAGCCAGAAAGGTTTTAGGGGATTATTTATAAAGCTATTTATAGTTCTCTTAGGCCTCTTGGGGATAAGGGCCCAAAGAGGGAATTAATATAATAGATATACGTAATAGTATATAGATAGGTATTAGATATTATAGATCTAGTTTCCTATTTTAGGTAAAGCTTATAATCGGAATTATACAGGCAATTGGAATCATATGGATCATATGGGATTATGTTTCCTAGTTAAGTAAAGTACTTTGCAGGCTTGGCTAAGTACTAGGGAATATATAGGGAGACGCTCCTAGCTTTGGAAAGGGGTATTAATTAGTCTTTTATTAGAATTAACTCTTGGAATTAGTTATACTTGCAAGCGTCACTTCGCAGCTTACTTACCTTGACTACTTGTATATTACCCTGCTATTACGTGCCTTATAATATTAATTATTTAATAGAGCTATTACCTAATTATATAGTAGTATACTAGCTTATTTATCTAATCCAGTTTCTTAATCTCATAATCCTATAAAAGTACTAAATAGTAATCTCTAATATCCCCGAATATTACAGGCTATAGAAATACTAGTTTTAATCCTTTTTTAACTATAGGTCGAGTATTCTTATTCTAATTCTCTGCTTTAACTTGGTATCTGGTATAGCAATTCTCTATTTCCTTTAGTATAAGCTCGTTAATTATAGGGGAAGTGTCACGAGGCCTGGCTCTGGGCTTGGAAAGCAGGGTAGAGTGGCTCTTATTCCGATAATACTAAACTAAGGAGAGAAGTATGTACAAGTGTGCGAACGCCAGGTAAGCATGCGAACCAGCCTAGCCCAATATAGCCTAGCGTACCACGTACAGGGAGCACGTGACAGCTATGGAGCGTACGACCATAACAGGAAGGCCTGGAAGAAGCTACCATATTCGTTTCGATCGTTTTATTATTAAATGGGTTAATCTCATTCCAGATACCCTTATTACCGGCTGCTCTATAGAGAGCGTCGAACCAGTCCGCCCAGGAACTTCAGTCCTTCAGGATAACGATCTTAACCGTGGCTTCTGATATAATTGCAATTGAGCTTATAGAAATAGTGGGAACTGTGGGAATGGTTCCTATTAATCAGTTAATAACGGAAATGCAAACTGAAATGTGATTTTCGAAGAAATAATTAAATAAGCTCTTGAATACTCTCTGCGGTATACTAATTGGGAAGCTTATTAGTACGAGGCCGGACTTATAACTAATATATATAAAGATCGCAGAGTAGGGAGTTGCATTGAATGGTAAAAGAGTTAATTGAACTAGCTCGAAAAGAGCTTAAGTAAAGTGTGAAGCTTCAGGAAGTAAGTGCACAGATCCTGACTAAGCAAAGCGATCGCGCAAGCCCCAAATCAGTGATTCTCACTGCGACACTCGGGCTTGTGGTTAAAAAGTTATTATGGATACAAAAGGGCGACCGTTTTGTCGCTTTTGGATCGGACCGACTGTAGCACCAGGTTCAACCACTAGTTTAGCCTTCTCCACTCTCATTTGTAATGCTTCACTTGCGGAGATTATTAACGCTCACTTATATATAGTTATTTGCTTTATTAGCTGATTTGTAATGCACGGAAAACGCGTGCTTGGCACACCCATATCGCCAAAGGCTAATGGATATAAGAATAAAGTTTTGCACTCTTTCTCTCCTGTTTCAGAACTCACTCTGTCTGTATCTTAGTTATCTAGGCCTTGTCAATCATTCATATTATTGTTTTTGCGCCTCCATATTGCCCCAGCCCAATAGATCTCCTTGCCCTTCTCAATCTGTTCTTGGTCCTGTTTGTTCGAGCATTTACATTAGGAGTTGCTTTTCTCCGAACTGGACGAGCGTCCTTCCCCTTCCCAATATCTTCGTTGACTCCCGCAAGTCCTTGTAGTTGTGCTTTGTGGTGATCCGTCTAACTTCTTACATTCTTTTCAGAACAAAACGGTTTCCACCTTTCTCAAATTGGGGGACCAGCGAACTTGACACTTTCTCGACTGCGGGTCAAATTCATCCAGAATTATCGACCTCTCGTCGAAGTTTCTTGTCATGTTAAAATGAAAATACCCCACCGATTTCACACACCTCGTACAAATGAATACATTTTTATACTTTTCAGAATGACCATCAAGGTCCCTCTCCAACTCGACCCGGACCAAACGCTGTCTTTCCTTTTTGGTGGCGCAGGGGCTGGGTTTCGTGGCGCACTCGTTCTGTTTGAGGAACATACTTTATTGAATCTATAAATCCACCCACATCCCCACCTCAGCACCGCCGGAGCCTTATCTGTCTTTTGCATCACATTTTCAGTCACATTTTCAGTACCAGAAGCCCAAGATGGGCGAGTTGATTTTCGCTCTCGGGCCAAACGACCGCTATTTCCTGTGCGATGGCTGGAATCTGTACATGTGAGTCAAAGCCCCCTCCTGCTCCGCAAGGCTGATCGGTACCGCCAGGAACAACATCCCTCAATCCCTTGAGAGCAAATTCGATGTCCTAGTCGAAACGCAAGCCGGTCTACAATCTCTGAAATGGCTCTCCTGTGCCTTCGGCCCCATCGAGAGTTACATCCTCACCATGAAGCAAGACAATCGCTTCATCATTTATCACGATAGTCTTCCTCAGAAGCTGGTAGATTGGCTTTTTGAACCTAAGTCGGGAGCTTATCTGCGCGATGTTGCCAGTCTTAAGGTCACTCTGGGGGAGAATGGTGCGTTCTTCGTTATGGATAAGAATAGATATCGGTGGGATGGGCTACCAGAGAAATTGGAGGAGTTTATACAATCGGGCTTCAGTTATATGCCTGCAGGCATTGATATGCCACGGCTGGTGGCTCTGGGGAAGCATAAGAATTTCGCGGTGATCACTGCTCAGGGACGGACACTATATTCCGCGAGACCAAAGCTAGCGGAAGCATTTGATGCAATAACGAGTACGGGCACAGGTGGCCGGAACATCACAGCATGTTCATCTACTCACTCTGCTTTTAAAGATATCTGAAGAACCAGCTGACTTCAGTGAGTAGTTCATATCAATGGATGCCTTTAGCGACGAGTCAGAGTTCTTTATAACGCTAGACAATGCAATTATAAGTCCATTGCACCATATCAGGAGCAGCAGGTTAGATTTGGCGAGAGATACGAGAGCCATCACAAATTTCCTCAACGCCAGTTTCCGTGAGATAGAGAAGCAGGCTGTTGCTCAGAAACAAACTGCTTCACGAGGAGGACAAGCTGCTGCCGAACAACTAACACTCGCTTCTCTAAGTATCAAGCCAAATGCAACAGGTCAAGGGGAAGATTGGTCTGGGCTAGACTATCTCGAATCTTTGGGACGCCAAAACAGCAGTTCCTCTTCCCAAGGCCTTCGAAACTGGGACGCAGTTGAACACAGCCGATACCCAGCACCCAACTACCTCTCAGCCCCGAGCCAACCACTTACTTCGGCACGCAGCCACCCTAACCTGCGGAATCCGAACGATGCAATGCAGGTGGCAGGAGAGCAAATTCTGCGACAGCAGCAGCAGGCGTTGTATATGAGTCAACGACTGGCGAATAGCCAGGCTGCGCTTGCGGCACAGTTGACGATCAATCAGTCTACGGAGAGAGGTGCGGCGGCGATTTTATCTTCTATTTGGTGATTGTTGAGGATTGTTGGGATTCTAACGGCTTATATATTTGAGTTTCTGCGAAGTCGAAGTCTTTGTTTGGATTTTGGCCGATATTGGTTCTAGGTAGAGACTTTCGTCATGATAGCAATGAATCTATTCTCATAGCCTTTATCAGTTTTCTTGCTTGCTTGCTTGCTTGCTCCTTCTAAGCCTGCTTTCATTTCCGGAGCTGCCTGGGGAGATTACAGCCAGATACTGTTAATAATGCACGTAAATCGAGCAGAGAAGGGAGTTGCATTGAGGGCAAAAGAGTTCAATAAAACTGGCTAGAAAAGAGCTTCAAGTGAAGCGTGAAAGCTCTGGAATATAAGTATATAGAGTCTAACTAAGCAGAGCAATTGCATTATATCTAATTAATAGATTATATTAAATAATATTTTAATTAATTAATAAAAATAAAAATAAAAACTCTTCTCTTATAATATATATAATTCTTTTCTTGAAATTATACTAAGATTTAAAAGATTTATTCGTTTTAAAGTACTTAATAAATATAATTTTATAATTATATATTTTATTAAAAGCCTTATTAAATAAGGCATTTATAAGAAATTCGTTTAATTCGTTTAATAAAACCTTATATTAAGCTTGTAAAAAAGAATTTATATATAATTCTTATATAAGAGAAGCTATTTTTATTGAAAAAAATACTAAAACAATAAATTTAATGTATAGTATATTCTAATTAGCTTCTTTTCTTCTTCTTTTTATTAAAAGTATTTAATATTTAAACTATTCCTTATATTTTTTTTATAAAAATATAAAAAATAAAGAGCTTATATATTAGCTTAATATAATTTGTTTTTTTTCAATAAAGTGTACTTAAGTTTAAATTAAGTATTAAATATATCTTATAATAATTTAATTATTATATGCTTATAACTTTTATAAAACAAATAAAATTTAATTCTCATTATTATAATTCTCGATTTTTTTTAAAATAATAAAATTATATAAATTATATATTAGCTTCTTTATTATTAATAATATTAAAATATTGTTTCTAATTACTTTAGATCTTATATATTTGTAATATAAGACTTAAGTAATTCTTTTTTAGGAAAATAATTAATAGTTTTAGTTTAATAATTAATAATTATTTTAACTTATATGACTTCTTGATAGAGAGAAATAAAATAATTATAAAAATAGAAATCGTTTGTTTTACTTAGTAAGTCTAGGGCTTTATAACTTGTCTAGGAATTATGCCTAGCCATTACTTTTAAACTAAAAGCAATTGCAACGCGTGTAGACTACTAGTAAAAGATTCAATTCTGCTCTAATATCTGGACCCAGCCCATCGTCACACCTGTGGCCGTCATTACCCTAACTCCAAATCCCAATGAGAACATCCAACTATTATCTTATAGATCCTTCTCTCTTATACAACTCCTCCCTCCTAGACCCGGAGTACAATCTTCGTATGCACTAGTGTTGAAGCAACCGATTGTTGGGTTCATCGGTATACACCGGTCCATGCGTCTCTTCCTCTGCCCCATAACGATTGTGATATGCGATGTCCTCTTCAGGTAACTGCCACGTCGGCCCACTTCCCGTAACCACAGGGCCCTGTTCTCTAGGGATATCGTATCCTTGAGTCCGCACCCGCATCGACGGTATAGATTTCAATTCGGTCGCCAACTTCTGCGCCTGCTTGTCATCTTCTGGCATAGCGTACACTCCGCGTTTTGTTGTCTTCTGCTGTGTATGGATATCGAGAGCTAATGCAGCGAAAGTCGAAACACTGCAGGTTGGGTGTTAGCCTCTAGTCTTAGAAGCATTTGCTCATCTGCGAATGAATAACGGGAGTGTCAACATACGTTCCGCATAGTGCCATAGCCCACAAAGCTTTATAATCCCTGCATACACTGGCTTCTGCCTCTCCGCCAAACTCCTTTCCTGTACATTGTCTCGCCAACACATGCGAGTTCCTGACAGACCAAGTCAGCATCCCAAACCCCATTGCCCACAGAATCGACGTGCTGCCATTTAGCACAATATTGAATGATGGAGCAAGGTATGTGAAGTTGTATAGGCAGATTGTGACGGTAAGTGCAATGATCGTTGCGAGTGATACGGCGAAAAGCTGAGTGTCTGTCAGTCGATATCCTCACCAAACGAAGCTGCGGTACCTACCACAATGAAGGTCCATGGAATAGGGATATTCTCCATTCCTGTGCATCAAACTGCTGTCAGCAAGGTCTACGATCTCAGAGTCAGGGAGTGAAGCGTACGAAGGTAGTAGATAAAATAAGCAATTATTCCGCTCACAATGACAGCAGCGATCAATTGCGCAGATCTCAGGCCATGGAAAAGGAATCGCGGATAGGGTGACGGCACGCCGCCTCGGACATTGCGCTTCAAGACCATCGTGTTCGTCGTTCTTTGCAGATTCAAAGATCGGACGAGGATGGAGTCATGAGACGGGACGGAGTAGGAGGAGTGCGGGCTCGAATGTTTCAGAAGCTCAGCCTCAAGTTATCCGCTGACAGTCATGTGATAAGAAATCTATTTACGGATTTATGCTGTCTTGGTTAGGTTTCAAGATTAGGTTTCAAGAAGATAGGCATTTCCATAGGGAAGAGGAAGAGGTCAATTATCTGATTTATTATGGATGAACTTGCAAAAGCTAACTACTGGAACGAAAATTACCTTCGTGAACCCTTAGACGTCGAAGAAAAGGATTCTTCTCGCATTTCCGAGCCTGAAATTTAGCGAGAGCCTCTTATTTTAGCGATCGGTCACTTCAGCGGGGTGGGATGATATTCTTGACATAATTGACGAGATATAGATGAGAATGGCTTTCCTTTACTCCGAAGGATGCCCAGTCAGGACCACTTCCTTAGTCTTGAATCGAGAGCTTCGATTGGCAGTCGTATTCAACACCTTGAGGGGAGGCACGCGAAAAGCCAACTTCGCCAAGTTTCAGACAAGTCCAACAAGATGAATAACAGCTGGCAACCAATCTACAGTGAGATCGACAGAGTAGTCAAAAAAGGCAATCCATCGGATAAAATGGTGCTATTCTCGCTGACGTTATCTACTGAGCCCCCCAAAACCATCGTGATCGTAGTGGATCAGTCAGCGTGCATGTACGACAGCCAATTGCTATCGTCGAATAGACCCTCAGCGCTTGACAGGACCTCAAGTTATAAGGTGACCACGAAGCTCCTCCTGGATCGTTTTATTTTCTCTTGGAAAAATATTGGAGAGTCTTCTAATCCGAATAAGAAACAAGCAGAGAGACATCAAGCCTCAAATCTGCCAGAACTTACTCCTCGCTTAACTCTCAGGGGCAAAAGGGGTCGCATCACGTGCCAAATATCAAAATGGCTCCCATCGCTACCTGGAATCCGTCAAATCTCCATGAAAACATCATTGTCCGCTCTACTGCAGCTCTCCCATTCATTGTGTTGTTATTATGGAGTTTTGTTTCACTCAAAGGGCACTCCAGCTCCAACCCCGTCACCCCATACCTCGATTCCACCATTCTCTCGGGAAGAATCAGGCTTGGTTCGATCGATGTCCCAATTTCGACCAAATTTCTCGATATCAAAGTCCTCGATGATTTTTGGAGACCGAAAACACTTGCTTTTGCACCATCAACATTGGGAGCCGATCCTGTTAGCTGGTTCCAGAACTTCGGATTTCTTGTGGATTACAGTCTCCTGTACTGCATCTGGCTTCTTGAATCGGCGAAGAGGTCAAATGAATACAGCCCTGCAAGGTTGTGAGTGTTGAATTGCATGCTCATTTGCTTGAATAATACTAATGGTCCACAGTCCGGTCCTCTTCGGTCTTTTCGCCCAAGTTTTCGGCCTTGGGATCATTGCACCCTTGTACTTTTTCCTACACTACACAAACTCTCCTTTGAGTCGCCGTTCCTATCCCAAGACTCAAAATATAAATCCCCATTTCAGCAGAGCAGTCTTCTTGACTTTGTGCCTGTTCTCTTATCTTCCCATTTCACTCATGTTCCTCGGTCCTTCACCATCCATTCGTCATCGCTGGACATGGGCATGGCAGATATTCCCGCTTTGGGTCAGTGTTGCACAGTGGATCCGGACTCGGACTTCTGCGTTCTCGTCCAAGACTGAACCACCAGCCAAAAAGCAAGAAAGCGAGAACTCAAGCAATGACAACAACATCATCAGAGCAACCATTTCAACGTTTGCAGCCATCTCAGCGGGAGTATGGATCTACACACTTCTCAACAGCCCATATTCGCTCACCATGATCTTCATTCCTCAAGATACGAGCAACACAGAACCCACTTTCGTTTCGCTCATGAGAAGATACTTCCAAGTGTCCCACCTCTCAGCATTCGGCAGCGCGCTCATGTGGCTCGTATACCTCTTCGCGGATTTGAAAAGCGCAGATCTCGTGCAGCAAAGCTGGATTTTTCTCCTCTCGATGGGAGGATTGACGACGTTGTGTTTTGGGCCAGGAGTCACAATAGCAGCGGGGTGGTATTGGAGAGAGGAAATTTTGAGGTATGAGAATATCGGGGGAAGCGAGGCGAGGGTTGGTGATGGGAATGGGAAGGGACGGTACAAGAAACTTGCACGACAGGGCCTTGATGAGTTGTGCTTCGGAGGGACGAAGGGGAGGTTCAAGGTGCTTTAAGGGGTGATCGGCGGCAAGATGAAAGTCACTGGGAACTGGTGTATGAACCCTTGTGACTCCGTGGGAGATGTAGAAAATGTACAAGTGAGACCCAATCTCAAACATGTATCCTTTCGAGACCAAGCAAGTCGCCATTCGCACCCGAGGTCTTCGCAGATGCTGTCTGATTCGATGGAACATTGTGACGTGATATTTTGGGCCCAGATCGGGCTTCAGAAGCAAGGTCATTTGTTTCAGTTCCCCCACCCCTTCGCCGTTTCATGGATGCTGAAAGGTTTGGCTTATGGTCTACCTTTCGAGACGTTTTTGCTTTTCTCAGCATACTTTCCGAAGCCGCCTAGATCTTGTGTTTGATCATTATCGGCTCCCTTGAGTTCAGACTCCATTGCATCTTGCATGGTAGAGTTTATCAGGATTTTCACGCTCATTTCGCCAAAATCTCTGCGAATCTGACCGCAATTGTTCTTGGGAAGTTGACCTTAGCATACTCTTGGCCGAAGCCTCTCGCAGACCTCAGATCTTCCTCACCGGTCTTTATTTTGCCGAGTTTGGAAAGAAGCTCTCCGACTTCGGGTGTCTCTGGTTAGACAGCCCTCTTTAGCCAGATGGCCACTTTCGCGAAGAGAAAACTCACGGATTGGGCGAGACATTTGTATGTTTTTTCTACAAATATGGAAAGCCGACAACAAACGTACTGTACAGGATATTTTCTAAGAAAAAGCCATCTAGTTGTGCTTGTGCTTGGGATTGGGATGGAGTCGAGGTTCTGGGAAGCTGATATAAATCCTTTCTACTTAGACCAGTGGAGCTCATCTAATTTAGCCTCAAAGATACTGCCTAGTGAGAATAAACGTTCAAAACGCATAATTTAGGCAGGAGTGTCTCTCCTGCTGATGGATCTAAAAACTTCCCTCGAGATCCCTTTCGATGCTTTTCTCAGGCAACATTCGCGTTCTCGCTTTCTGCGACGTGCTCAACTTCACCACAATTCTCTCCCCGATTAATCTCAGGTGATAACGGATGCCCCTAGATTATTTCTATTGCTTATGCTGTACCCCCGGAGAAACAGCAAAGATCCGAGGCATCTTCCTCAAGTTCCAAGCAAGTCCACGAGCCAACAGAACTGCTTATCCAAAGAGACTCTTCTCTGCAATTACCAGAGAGACCCGCCAGACTCGTTCCGTTACCCAAAAAACTGCGATCCAATCCCACGTCCCAGAACAACTTTTTCCTGCTCTAGAATTACTACATAATGACTTTTCTAGGCGGAAGAAGGTTAGGATCAGTGGAATGATTAGAAAGTAGTTCAGTGGACTTACAGTGCCATGAATTCTAGCCAAAACAAAAACGTTTGCTAGCCACATCATATCCGCAACTACGCAGATCACGGCATAAAGTGACGGGATTACAGGGCATAATTATATGCAGTCCACTAAAGTGCCCTGTAAGGTCTTACTTGCCCCCTAAAGGCTATTTCGCTTAAAAAAAGGGGCTTGCAGGTAGGGTAAATCACCTGATAAAATTAATCATATTTGAAGATATACTTTAGCTATATACTGCTTTTTTCTCTTGGCCCTTCTTTCGCCCTTCCTTATACTCGTTCCCTTCCTCTAATCTAATTACCTCTTTTACGTAATGAGAAATTGCCTTAATCCACTCTTGAATTTTTCTTTAAGGAAGATTCTCCTAGCATTTCTCCTATCTTACCCTTAGCTTCTTTCTATTACTCGTAGGTTCCTACTTTATAGTTTCTTTCTTTATATAAAATCATATAGGCTTAGTAGTATTAAGGTTAGATAAGTTATTTGGCTAGAGTATTTTTATAATTCTCTAAAGATTATAAATCCCTTATTAGTAATAAGATTTATAGACTAGTATATTATTCTCCTAAATAATAGTATTTGGATAATTCTTTAGGTATTTCTTTATAAAGGGCAAGAGCTTTATAATAAGGATTTCCCTTTAGTATTAGTACTAATTAATTCCTCTATATTTATTCTTTATTATAAAAGCTCCGGTTTTCTTATTATACTTCTATATTTTTCTTGTTCTATTAGGTTTCTTACTATAAACTTTAATTTAGTCCCTTAGCTACTTTCTTTACTCTTTTTCCTACTTCTATTTATTAGCCTTCTTAATTAAGGAATTCCTTATATCCAAATTAGCTTTTCTCTCTTGCTTTTACTAAGCTATTTTCTTTTCTTATATATAGTATGGCTCCTTTTTATTATATAAGAATAATTCCTAAAATATAAACTCAGAAAAGCCTTTCTAGTATCTCCTTATATAATGCTTATTATAAGCTTTCCCTAGAAGCCTCTAGACTCTTCTTTTCCCTTTATAATAGGCACACGTAATAGTATATAAACAGGTATTAGATATTATAGATCTAGTTTCCTATTTTAGGTAAAGCTTGTAATCGGAATTATATAGGCAATCGGAATTATACGGATTATATAGGATCGTGTTTCCTAGTTAAGTAAAGTGCTTTGCAGGCTTGGCTAAGTACTAGGGAATATATAGGGAGATACTCCTAGCTTTGGAAAGAGGTATTAATTAGTCTTTTATTAGAATTAATTCTTGGAATTAGTTATACTTATAAGTATTACTTTATAGCTCACTTATCTTGACTACTTATATATTACCCTATTATTACATGCCTTATATTCTAATTAATCTAATCTTTAGGAAGTAGTTTATTATAAGGTAGTTAAGCTATTAATAGATAAAATATTAATAGCTAGAGTATTAACTAGGAGAAGCGCCTCTATTATTACTAGGGTAACCTAACCGGGTATCTAGGGGAGCGCCTAGTTAAGTATTCTTTATATTGCCTAATTAGGAAAAGGAAGTGGAACTCAGATGTTTTTAGAACTAGTAAGTAGGATAATAATAATAGAGAAATTAGTGGCAGCTCGCTATTATATTACTAAGTTAGAAATAGAGATATAATAGAGAGAAGATCTAAAGAAGCTAGAAGCTTAGATCTATTATCTTAAAGATATTTGGATACCTGGTATAGAACCTATTATACTCCCGGTAGTACTCTTGGTTTAGAGGGCTCCAAAAATCCGAGAACTACCTATTTACCGGGGAAAGAGTATTAAAGAAGCCCAGAACTTCTTTTATTAGGCAGAGTTAAAGTAATATAAAAATGGCGGGATTACCTGGGCTACTAATATAGTAAAGGTTATATATTATACTTCCTGTTTTGAGGATATAGCCAGAGATATCTGGAAGTATAAGGAGTAATTAGTAAGTATTAATACTATAGATTAGGAGGTCTTTATTAAATTTATAAAGAATTCTATTTTAGATCTAGAGAATTATAGTAATAATATCCTTACCAAGTTTAAGAATATTAAATAATAACTAGGCTAAAGTATCTAAAGTTTTATATCTTATTTAGATAGCCTATTAGATAACTTGGGATATATAGGTTTATTATAAGAGTAAGATAACTTAGTAGTTTAAGGCAAGAGATTTGGGACAAGATTAATTATTAAGGAAATACTTTATAAGAAAAAGAGAAGCTTATTTTTATAGTTATAAGAGTTAAGAATAATTTAAACCTATTTATTTAATAGAAATATAATAATAAGCTAATAAGATAATAAAAGAAAGGAAATAAAAAAAAAGAAAAAGGAAATAATAAAAAGAAATAAAAGAGAAATATATTTCTATTATAAGGTTTATAAAACCGAAATAATAAAGATATAGTAATAGGGTCTAATATAGTACTTATATTAGGATTTATAAGACTGGGTATAATTTGCTTTATTTACTAGAAAAAGAGTTATTATATTACTACTTGCCCTAATTAAGGGAAACCGACTTATTATAATTATAATAAGTCTGGCTATAAAGTATATAAGTATCTAGAATTAAAGAAGCCAGGAAACGGATATATCTTATAATAATTATATTTATTTATATTATAAAAAGCAAGGCCCCTAAAATAAGAATAGTAATTAAGGTTACTATTAAGATAATAAAAGATAAGTAAAGAGTTAGAGTATTAGCAAACTCAGGTATAGAGGCTAATTATATAAAGAGGAAATTAGCTTTAGATATAAGTATTTTATTAATATTAAGAGTAACTTTCTTATTCTTACTAGAGAAAAGAAGAATTTATTTATATAAAAATTATATTCTTAGTATTATTATTAAGAATATACTAGGGAACTAAAAAAAGACTAATATATACTTTATATTATATAATTTTAATCTAAATTATATTAATATAATACTTGAATTCCTATAGTTTTATTAGATTAATTCCCTAATTTTCTTTAGGAAAGTAATATAAAAATACTAGATTTAATTATAGAAGATTAAAGTTCTAAATACTAGGAAATTTACTAAAATAATAAAGTATAAGATATATGTTTTTCTATTAATTACTTATTCTATAACGGATAGCTAAAGAATTACTACTATTACTATTAATAGAATAGCTATATTTCCTAAAAAGTATTATAACCTTTTCTAAATATTTTCTATAGAGGCTATAGGTATATTACCTAACTATTATATAATAAAGTATTATATAAATCTGGAACTAGGGTCTTAATTACTATATAGTTTTATATATATTTTATTAGAAAGAAAGCTTAAAATTCTTTAGAAATATCTTAATACTAGCCTAAAAAAGAAATGAATTTATTATTTTACTAGCCTAGCTAGTACCCTAATTATATTTATTCTAAAAAAAGGAGGTAGCCTATATTTATATATTAATTACCGGAATCTAAATAAGATTACTATTAAGAACTAAATACTATTATTACTTATTAGTAAGACTATAGATAGGCTTTATAAAATAAAGATATATATAAAGCTAGATTTAAAGAATACTTATTATTAGTTATAAATATAAGAAAGTAATAAGTAGAAAATAATATTTTAAATATATTATAAATATTTTAAATATTATATTATATTTTTTAGACTATTTAATACTCTAGTAATATTTTAGGTATATATTAATTATATACTAATAAGCCTTATAGATATTATTTATATAGTTTATCTAAATAATATTTTAATTTATTTAGAGAACCCAGAATAATATTTAAGTAATTATAAT